TTCTTCTTGGTGATTCCCATAGTTTGTAGGCTATGATAAAGTTTTGGTATCAAGTATCTCTGCAGTATAGTCATCTTCTGCTACGGCTTCAGCGGGCACTTTTTAAGATGGTTAAGCATTCCCTTCATCTTTGTAGGTGTTGGTCCAGCTGCATAGTTATATCCTAAATATTTCATTTGTGACTCCAAGTGTTGGTATAGGAGTTCCGTTTATCGCAAGATATGGTGTTGCGTATCGACAATCAGGCGTTTTGTGCCAGGTACGATCAGAAATATTGCGCATTTCGTGACATTGACTTCTAGGCCGTGCTTTGAGAAGAATGTCTCCATGACTTTTTTATATGTCCAGGCATAGTTTTCGGGCTAGGTGCCAGGACTATAATATCGTTGGCGAACGCCATGGCTGTTATTTTAGCGCCATTGATCTCGACGCCTTCTCGCTGTCAGCAGCTCGTCTATTACCAAGCTAAACAGGAATCCAGACATAGGATCTCCCTGTTTGACTCCACTTTCAATAGATATTGGCCTGAACCTCTGTCCATGACACTCCAGGATTGTTGTTACATCCTTATATATATTTTATATATATGTTATAGTGTTCGCATCAATTCCCTTTTTATGCAGTGCATTGATTGTTGTATTAATTGGGTCAAACGCCTTTGTCCCCAAAGTTCTCCCAAAGTCGTGTTTCGGTGCCCGATTTAGTTACCAGGCACAGGAATTGGTCCCTTATTCGGCTTTTACATAAACATTTTTAACATTCTTTACATCTTTGTCTTGTTTCTCTTGCAAGCCCTTTGTACGAATGAAGAAAATGTGACCCTTTTTTTGACGGTATTTGGTTTTCAATTGCCATTTCTTCACGGTGATGATTATTGATCAAAAGGTGATCAATAATTTGTTCTCTGAATTTTAAAAGACTAATTTACTTTCATTGCTTGCATTACCAAAATCCTCGGAAGAGGTTGAGAGTATTCTTGATCTATTTCTTCTGCTTCCATTTATAGGATTATCAGACAAATCACTTATTTCTATATCCATATTATCTTTATTTATATAGGCAAAAATTAAAAAAGTAAAAATATCAACGACCTTTCTAGTTTCACTTACTAGAAGAAATTTATGGTCAGGATGAAAGAAGCGGCACGAGTTAAAGAACTTTAAAAGTAAACGCACATACTTTGTCACTGAACGAACAATTGCAACAGCTGAATAAGCA